TGGCCAGTTTTTGGGTGTTGTCATAAAAGAGGACCTGACCTGAGGCACTCACATTGCAGCACTGGTCAAAAAGGCCCAGCAGAGATTATACTACCTGAGACTTCTCAGGAAACAACAACTGAATGAAAAACTGCTGGTGACCTTCTACCACTGCACTCTAGAGAATATTTTAACTTACTGCACCTGTGTATGGTTTGCTAATTGCACAATGGCAGATAGGACTGCATTCCAGAAGGTTAACATCATTGCCCAGAGGATCATTGGTTGCCCTCTCCCCTCTTTGGAAGAGCTTTATAGCTCCCGCTGCCTTTTATGAAAGTTCAAAACGTTCTTAAAGATCCATCTCATCCTGGGCACCCTTTTTTTGAACTATTGCCATTTGGCAGACGGTACAGGATAATAAAAACAAGGACAAATAGGCTGAAAAACAGCTTCTATCCTAGAGCAGTAACTATGTTGAACTCTACTGTATAGTGTAATATTAATGCAGTATCACGGGTTTTCAATTCAATTGTATAGAATGTGAAGGATGTGTGCTTTTGTTTTATTTTTATAGTTTTCTTATGTATGATGTACACTGAAGATGGCATTTAATTTCATTGTATGAGGTGCAATGACAATAAAGTAAACTATTTAAATTATTTACTCTATTATTCTTAAAAGTGGTAATAGCACTAAAACTCAACCGATCATAGCAAAAATGGAAAAAGGAAAGGTGGGTTTGAAGACTACAAACAGCTGTTTGAAAAACAGCTTCAAAGAATGGCAGTAAACAGTAGCCTAAGTACTAATCGTACTTAGTACTAAGTACTAAGCCTTAATACAATCGAACGAGTACAGAGATATTTCACGAGAAGAATCCTCCACTCCTCTGTTCGCAACAAAATACCTTATGCCAACCAGACTTGAAATTTTGGGTTTAGACAATTTAGAACTTCGCCGTCTTTGGTCTGACCTAAGCGTAGTACATAAAATCATCTGCTACAATGTCCTACCAGCCAATGAATATTTCAGCTTCAACTAAAACAATACAAGAGCACACATTTTACAAACTCATGGTAAACCGATCCAAACTAGACTGCAGAAAATACAACTTCAGTAACAGAGTAGTCAGTGCCTGGAATGCACTACTTGACTCTGTGGTTTCTTCCCCAAATCCCCAAAACTTTAACCTTAGACTGTCTACTGTAGACCTCACCTCATTCCTAAGAGGTCTTTAAGGGGCGTACTTAAGCACACCAGCGTGCCTACTGTCCTAATGTTTCCTTTTATTTGTATCCATTTCATGTATTCATAATTATGTTTACACTTGTATCTGTTATCAAATACATATTTGACGAAATACAAAAATAAATAAAGTAGGAATAAAATTATGGAGGCTTACAGAAGGATGGGAAACAGATTGCACCATCTTGAAAAGGAAGGTAATATTGCAGACCAATTTTTAATACTGTGAATCTCACCAGTTTGTACACTCTGCCACATGGTGGCTAAACAAAGGTATCACATCCTTGTTATGTATTCTACTCTGAGATGAACAAATGATTTTTTGGGGTTTTAAAGGTCACATGTGTTGCCCATTGGTGAATTGAGACTCATATATATTTTTAAGTACATGTATGTATGTATGTATGCATGTATGTAGCACATATATGCTTACACTTGCACACAATACATATGCAAACATGAACACACACATTTACATGCTTCTAGGGCAGATATACTTTTTCTATTGCAGAGAACAGCTAACATGCTTCTCCATTCCATGCCACATTGTTATTTATACATGGAGTTGGAGACTAGACTGCACTATTACTGACTGATCAACTGAGAGCTGAGGAAAGAAGGAGCAGGGTTATCCAGAGCTGTTCAACAGCAGGTAGCAAAACCAAGGAATTAGATGAGCTGTGGATATAGAGCTACATAATTGATGTTGATGGCATTATAGGTAGTTTATTTTATTTTATTTTATTTTATTTTATCTTATACATCCAACAAACATTAAATCTATAGCGGTCTACATCACAACGCGAGAAGGAAATAAACTTGTCCCATTACATATATAGGGTAACCTATAAAAGTCTATTACATATACCAATTGACATACTTATCCAATACCTTTATTTATAGCTCGATTTGACATCTAATTATACCATTGACTCCAAGATATATAGTAATCTGTGTCCCCCCATCTTTTCAGTAACATAGTAAGCCGATCTGATTCCATACAATTCATTATTTTCTGAATTACTACTTGTTCGGATGGGCTAAAATCCATCTTCCAGTATTGGGCCCATGCCAATCTTGCAGCTGTTGTTATATGCAGCAGCAGGTATCGGAGGGGGGACATTATAGGTAGTTTTTGACTTATGACCGGTCACTTAGCAACCATTTTAAGTTAGAACCATCCCAAAAAAGGGGACATGATCTGGGCTCAAAGTTCTGAGGGTTGGGCCCTCTCTTTGGTCACGTGACTGAACTCTGGGCACCCGGCAAACAGCTGCAGTTACACCCATTTGCAGAGTCCCATGGTAATGTGACTGTATTTTACAATGGTTTCACCACTAACTGGCACTTAAATTCTGTTTTTTGGCAAAACCATACCCATACAGAGCCATCGGTTTGCCTAACAAACATGGTGTTCACTTAACATTGCAAAAAAGGCCACAACAACTATTATGACATACTGTATGACTATAATAGGCTTGGCTCAGTGGTGAAATCTAAAAATTTTCGCCACCGGTTCTTTGGGCATGGCTTGGTGGGCATGGCCTGCCGGTCATGTGACCAGGTAGGAGTGGCCAATATGACATCACTCAGGTCACTTTCTTTTTCTCTCTCTCTCCTTCCTTCCTTCCTTCCTTCTTTCCTTCCTTCCTTCCTTCCTTTCTTTCTCTTTCTTCTCTCTCTCTCTCTCCCCCCCCTCTCTCTCTCTCTCACACACACACACACTCTCACACACACCTGGTTTGAGCAGCGGCTGCTGCGGAAGAAGGAAGAAAGTGCTCTGGGAGGATGGGCGGCCCGGTCCGGAAGTGGCACATGCCCCATCATGGGCTGGATGCAGGCAGTGGGACCCGAGGCAGAGGCGAAGGCAACTGGGAAGCAGTCGTCCAAAGGCCCCGCAGAAGCTGAGCGTACCAGGCCCGAAAGGCGAGCAAGCCTAGCCATGTTTGGCCCAAGGCGGCTCTTTGGCTGAGCATAGTGGGTCTCTCTTCCCCACCGCCAGCACCGGCATTATATCTGCCCGCCCTCTCAGGGCTGCCCATGCACACCCCAGTGGAGTCTTGGCTCCAGAGGCAGTGATGGGAGAAGGAAGAAAAGCAAGCGACCCCTCTCAGCACCAGCCGCCCCTCTCAGCCCCAGCACAATGGTTGCGTCTCCTCCAAGGGCTACCGGGCCAGTGGGAAGCAACTTTCTCCCATGGCTGGATTCCCGCCACGAGTGACAAGAAAATCTAATTAATCCTCGGATGAGATGGGGAGGATTTCTCTTCCTTCCTTGTGAATTAAAAACTCTTGTTAGAGCTGCGGAGGAGGAGGAAGAAGAGGGGGGCTTGCTGTTCAAAAGCCCCAAAGGCTGTGCAAAGTTGCAAACCTCGGGCGAACTTGCAAAACGAACTCAATGAACCCCACAAGGAGGAGGAGGAGAAAGTTGCAGTAGACTTTCCTTCCCTCTTGCCACTCTGAGCCCTGCACAGCCTTGAAGCTGGCGGAGGAGAAGAGGAGGAGGAGGGCTGCTTGGTGTGATGCCTGCATTTCCCCCCCCTGCACGGGCAGCATCTCGGCCTTGCAACTGCCATGGTCTGCCCCGTGCAAGCTGCGGGCATTGCATCTGGGCGCTGGAGGCGAGTGGAGCCGTGGAGCAGTTTTGCAGATGACGTAGAATAGCACGGTGGCTGTCCACACCCTATTTCTTGCCAGCCAGCCAGGAGAAGGGGGGGAGGAGGGAGGGAGGGGGTGGCTTGGTCTTCCCGCCTCCTGCTCCCCCCAATTGCTTCCAAAAAATGCGAGAGGCATTTTGGGCAAAGGTATTGTGGGGAGTTTTTGCAGCAGGAGAATAAAAAGGCTCTAACAGACCTGGATTGTTGCGGGGCTCCCCCTCTCCTTCTTTATTTGTCTGCCCCTGCCATGTCTGGTCCTTTTATGTTAAGCCCACTCCTCTCTGGTGCCACTGCTCCTCTCAGCCCCAGTGCAGCCGCTGCGTCTTTCCCAAGGGCATGGGGGTTAGGATTAGTTGAACACTGACCTCGGAAGGCAAGCAGGTGTGGGGGACCACTGGGAAGGCAGTGTGAAAGGCAGGCAAGCATGGCAGGGCTAAAAGGAAGAGAGTAGGCTGCTAGCTCCCTTCCCCGCGGCCCTGCCATGCTTGCCTGCCTTCCACGTGGTCTTCCGCTTGGCTGCTTTTGCAAGCTGGCCGCAGGGATGCTGGGAAGGCCGTGTGGAAGGCAGGAAAGCATGTCATGACTGCGGGCAACAGACTGGTTCAGGGGCGTGGCCAGCCAGTGGTTGCTACCGGTTTGGCGAACGAGCCCCAATCTCCGCTACCGGTTTGCCCGAACCAGTCCGAACCAGTAGCATTTCACCCCTGGGCTGGCTCCATTATGGTCATATGTTAACTACCTACATTATTTAAATACCAGAAAGCAATAAAAAAAATCTTCCTAGTCAAATTAATATATAAATTTAATGTACGTTTCCCCTGCCATGATACTCATATCATTTTGAGAAGTCACAAAGCTCCAGAGGCAATAACAATTGCTTTTGAGGTGCTGTCTAGTGCAGTGGATGTTGCAGAGTTACAGAAAGAGACAAAAGAAGGCAGGCATCCAATGTGATTAAGTAGTGTAGGATGATAGAGAATTTTGTGTTTGTTTAGACTTAAGTGCCATAATGGACACAAAGCAGGGACACATAGCACAGCCTGGCACACAGCACAATAGAGACAAGAAATTGCTCAGTGAATATTTTTCTAAAATATAATACACATGCTTATCTTACCATGACTTCATCTGCCTCGGAATATGGCGTTGCTTGACACCTGCCTTGCAACCAATAATCTGTTTATTTGAGTTTCTTTGTTTCTGTAAAATAGATATAGCTTGTGTTTGGCAGTGGACTTGGGAGCATGGCCACATATCCTTTGGGTGATTGCCTAGGCTCTGCAGACATTTACAAATAAACTATTTGGAGACTGGATTTTGGTTTTGTAGTCATGATTGAGTAGGTGAATGAATCAGCATCCACTTTGTATATTATAGTTGAGAAGGGAGAAAGGAGTTGCAGATTACTCTCAATTCCCTCTCCATCAGTAGTGAAGCAACTTCTTTATGAAGCAGGGTTATAATGTTTTAATTAAAAAGTAATGAGTAAGAGGAAATATGTAGATATCACATTTCCTCTCTGCCTTGAGAAATAAAATCTGACCCACGAGGTGAGGACGAGGGTCTAATGAAGGAGGTCTTATCTAATGAAGCTGAACTGTGCAAGTGAAAGAGATTGCAAATAAGGTATTCTTTTATATTGTAAAGAGTTACTACCACTAGTTAAAGAAATGTTAATTATTGATGTATAGATTTCCATGGCATGGAAAATAAGTTGAGCTGACACAGTATTTAATTGAAATGATTTGAATTTAAACAGAGAGATAAACCATAGTAATAATCTAAAACAGTCTGTTTCACTGCTGAAAATGTTAGAATTTTGCCAACGTGTCGTTCTCCTCCAAATAATTGTTCTGCATATATATATATATATATATATATATATATATATATATATATATATATATATATATAATATATTATTATATATTATTTGGCTTATTTGTTTATGTAAGTTTTCACGGGTATATATGTGTGTACAGTTAATATCTCGGGTTTCTTCCCGTGTAATGGCAAACATATCCCTAGAAGGGTAGCAGCGACGTTTTGACAAAATCACATTTGTCATCTTCTGGCTGAAGTTCTCGGTTTGGTTCTTATGGGCAAACTGTGTGATCATAACTGACGTTTTTCTATGAAAAGAGGCAAAGGTGTATTCTGATTGGTCGACAGTGTTGTTGTATTCTGATTGGCTGATGACGTAGCTGTATTTTGATTGGGTGGAAGCGCTGTTGTTTGGTTGTGGGTTACTGGATAAGTTATGCTGGAAATGGTGGCAACACAGGCATTATGATGAATCTTTGATCTATGGTTTATATTTTGTGTTAAGATTCGTCTGTCTATGAGAGCAGGTTTCCAAATAGTAGGCAGACGGGAGGTGTCATCATGTTTATTCATACAATATGGTCTTTTCTCTATTTCAATGGCCTCTCTGATTATTCTGCCATTAAGATGTTCTATTTTTGCAACTGTTTTTGTGTTATTAAAATTAATATTATGTCCTGTGGCATTTATGTGTTGTACTAATGATGATGTGTGTTCTTTCTTTTGTACTGAATTTTTATGTTCCTCGATGCGCACACTCATTCTTCTGTTGGTCTGTCCAATATATGTTGAGGGGCAGGAAGCACACGGGATTTTGTATATGCCTTGATCTTCTAATTCTATTTTGTCTTTAGGATTTCTCAGAGTAGACGATATCTTTCTATCTGTGCAAAATATGGTTTTGATGTTGTGTCTATGTAGTATTTTGCTAATTTTATCTGTTCTTCCTTTTATATAGGGCAAGATGGCTTTCCCATTGTTTTGTTCCTCTTGTTGATTTCTCTTCTGTCTGGGTGTTACATGCTGGATCATACTGATGATTTTGTTTCTACAGAACCCATTTGATGTCAGTACATTAGTTAATGTATATAATTCTGTTTGTAAATGTGCTTCATCAGCCAGACGTTTAGTTCTTGTGGTTAATGTTTTGGCAACAGAGTTTATTTGTGCTGGATGGTGATGTGATTTAGCATTGAGATAGCGGTTTGTATGTGTCTTCTTTTGATAGATGGTATGTCCTAAGGTGCCATCAGATTTTTTATAAATTAATACATCAAGGAAAGACAACTGATTTTCTGATTCTATCTCCATGGTGAACTTTATTTTGGGATGGAGGCTGTTCAAATATGCTAAGAAGTTTTCCAGTTTATCTCTTCCATGCGGCCAGATCACAAAAGTGTCATCAACATATCTAAGCCACAATTTTGGCTTGTTAACAGTTTTTTCTAAGGCATTGGTTTCGAATTCTTCCATGAAAAGATTAGCAATAACCGGTGATAAAGGTGATCCCATTGGTGCACCTTCTATTTGTTTGTATCTCTGTCCTCTGTGTATGAAATATGTGTTGGATAAACAATGTTCTGTTAAATCTGTGATATGTTTCGGTAGTTGATATTTGTTTTTAATTGATGACAGGGCTTATTTGACAGGTATTTGTGTGAATAGTGATACAATATCGAAGCTTACAAGTAAGTCATTTTCTTTTATGTGTTGCTTTTTCATTATTTGTATGAAATGGTATGAGTTCTGTACATATGAAGCAGCAGTTTCTGCATAAGGTTGTAGATGTTTTGCTAGGTATTTGGCTAGATTTTGTAACGGTGAGCCTATGGAACTTACTATGGGTCTAAGAGGTATTCCATTTTTGTGTATTTTTGGGAGGCCATACAGTTTTGGGCATTTTGATGATTTTTCTCTGGGGATAATTGTTTGTTGGATTTCTTTACTTATAGTACTTGATTTTATCTTTATCCTCGTGGTTTTTTCTAGATATGTTGTTGGGTCTGTGTTTATGGGTTTATATGTGGCATCTTGAAGTAAGTCAGACAGTTTCTTTTCATAGTCTACTGTGTTCATTACTACCGTTGCATTGCCTTTATCTGCTGGTAATATCATTATGCTATTATCATTTTTTAAAACTTGTAGTGCTTTTTGTTCTTCTTTTGATAGTTGCTTTTAGGTGGTTTACTAGTGCGTAGAATGTTGGTGACATCATGTCTAACTTTATCAGCATCATCAGCGCTGAGTTTCTTTAAGCTGGTTTCAACTTCGCATATGATGGTTTCTATAGGGATTTTTTTTAGGTGCCACCCTTTGCTAAGACATTTGTTTCTGCTGTTGTCAGTTCCCTATTGGAAACATTGTATACCACTTGTTTTAAATGATGCTGTGCTGTGGTTGGCTTATATATATATAAGCCAAATATATTTGGCATATATATATATATATATATATATATATATATATATATATATATATGTTTTCTCAGGTTTTCGCGGGTGTTTGTATGTAGGTCTTTGGGAAAGAAAAACTGGACAACTTCCTCACACACCTCAACAGCCTACACCCCAAAATACAGTTCACCATGGAAACAGAAGCGAACAACCAACTTCCCTTCCTGGATGTCTTAGTCTACAGAAAATCCAATGGCTCCCTAGGACACACTATCTACCAGAAGAAAACACACACAAACCGCTATCTGCACGCACTCTCACACCACCACCCTGCCCAGATCAACTCTGTAGCCAAGACACACATTTCCAGAACAAAACGCTTAGCTGACGAACAACACCTAAAAACCGAACTACACACTCTCACTAATGTACTAACATCCAATGGATTCCAAAGAAATAAGATCACCAACCTAATCCAAAAAGAAACCCCCACTAAAATCCAAGACAGAGAACAAGAAAACAGCAAAGCCCTCCTCCCATACATAAAAGGCACCACAGACAGAATAAGCAAAATCCTCCACAAACATAACATCAAGACAGCATTCTGCAGAAACCGAAAAATATCCACTATCCTAAGGAACCCCAAAGACAAAATTGAGTTAGAAAATCAAGGAGTATATGAAATCCCATGCACCGCCTGCCCCACCACATACATTGGACAAACCAACAGACGAATAAGTGCACGCATAGAAGAACACAAGAACTCAGTCAGAAAAGAGGAACCAACTTCTTCCCTGGTCCAACACCTTAAAGCCACAGGACATGATATTGACTTTAAAAAGACCAGAACTATCGCCAAAACTGAACACTTTAACAACAGAATAATCAGAGAAGCCATCGAGATAGAAAAACGCCCACACAGCATGAACAAACGAGACGATACCTCCCGCCTACCAGCCATTTGGAAACCCGCCCTTATTGACAAATGAGTCCCTAACACGACGAATGACACCAGACCCACACTCACGAGAGCCACACAGGATGTCACCACCACACATCCACGCAGAAAGCAGACTCAAACCCACACTGATAATGAGCCACGACCAAGGACCAGAAGCCAGACCGCAGCTGCATCATTAGCCACTTTAAACCCCTCCAATCCATACATGAAGCAGACTGACACCCACCATGAAGAGCTCGCACAGCCACAAACACGAAGCCAAACAACAACAACGCAGCTCACCAGCTCAAATCCCCCTGCAACTCAGACTAAGCTGAGCACAACCAAGCCCCCACCCAAACAGAACACACCCCCTGTCAGCCTCAGCTTGCCTGCTTCAGCTGCCATAAGAAATGGGGAGGGATTAGTTATGGAGCAAAGGGGGGGAAGGGAGCAGGAGGGGATTTTGTCTTTGTAGGAGGGGACTTCGTGAGAAACGAAACTGAATCTTCAAAAGGGGACGGCTGACCAACTGCCCTACATTCCTGATGAATGACGCTGCCAGACGTGTTGCCACCTGACCTTTGGAAGACCTTTGGATTGGCTGATGATTTATGAACACGGGGGGGGGGGAGAAGCTTAGTAGATGCATTTCACGCGTTTTGCTCACTTCCAGTTTTACTGGGTTGCTATTCATTTCATATTCAGTAAAAGTACTAAATTCTTCAAAATGCTTGAGTTTGGGGTTTTCTTTCCTGGATACTGAAGGAAGCATACCTGACATTAAGCTGGAAGTCACCACCAGTCATCCTGGATAAAAACCGAGGGGACTGAAAATCCAAAGTATGTCAGATCGAGGGAGTGATGAAGAAGGGAAAATGGGGGCAGCGAGTTCAACCGCCCTCCAGTCGGAAAGAGAAACTGCAGAATGGTTGGAAAAACTCTGTTTGGAGCCGGAGGAAGCTAGATGGTCCAAAGGAGTGGGGAGACTGCCGGACTGGGGGGAGAACCCCCGGGGAGTGACGACTTCCAGACCCCGTAAA